TGGCCAGAGTCCTTCTGTCTCCCACCACCTGCACTGGGTCCAAGGTGCATCCCAGAACAGAGCTGGCCTTCTTAATGAGTTTATCCAATTATTATTAACTAACGTATGTTGCAAGTTAGATTTTGTACGTTGATTAAAATAAATATTACATTTAACTGACTAGCACTTCTGGAGTCTTTATTAATCCGGTTACACAGACTACTCAAATTATGAAGAAATGTCCTTGGGAGTTAGTTTGACGAATTTCCTCTAACAGTGTAATAAAAATGATGCATGAGGAGGTCTTTCTGTGACCTGAACTGTGAAATTTCCAGTCAAGTAAAATTAATTGAGAAAATGAAGCTTGGTGATATTGATCTATAACGCCCACCATCATGTGTGTGCAAAGCATTTTCTGTATATTAATTCACATATCCCCGATTTTCCCTGGGCGATATGTTAACTTAGCTGCACACTCCAGAAATAATTTAAAGATTTATTTTTTTTAATGTGGAGAATGCGCACCAAGGTCAGAGAGGAATTCACTGCCCTGGAGGTGTTTTCCAGACTGTAAAAGCCGCCACATGCAGAACCATGAAGGATGCACCATCACGACTGGCCCCAAAGCGACATCATCTTCCCTCATTGGGATGTGCATAATCACAATGATGGGATAGAAAAGTGGATTTAGGAATGTTAAAGTGCCGATTATCTGTGGTTATGCATTTCTAATTGTTTTGCTGGTGCTCCACAGCGGTGAGGACTTCCACCCCACGTCCAATAGCCTGATCTACGGCACCCATGTTCCCACAAAGGATGGCATTGACCGCATGGTGGAGGATGTTGAGAAACAGTAAGTCACACTTTTCACGAAAGCAGTTCCCTATCCACTTCTGACCATCTCTTAATTTTATATCTACACCAGCCTGATTCACGGGGCAGACCGCTAAGATAAACCTCTGTACCCACTGATGCTCTGTGGTTACACAAAATCAAGCATGTGACGTAAAACAGAATTTTATCCACCTGTGGCTGTGTGGAAGAAAAGCCAAGCACTGATTTGGTTAAAGCTTGGTTATTATGATTGGTTTGCACCATCAAAGCTGCACAAAATGTTTGTTTTGTCTCAGGATGACCGTGGGTTCATGTCAGTTAAATCCCTGCTTCCCAATGCTGGCACACCACAAACGCAGTGTGAAGATAAGCAAAGGCAATGGGAGGCAATCTCTGAGTGGAAGAATTCAACCCCGGACCATAAATTCTGGTCCAAATGAGGATAGGAGGCAGTTCATTATCTGCCACCTTCTGACCAAGGTTTAAACTGAGTTTTCAAATACTGGGAAGTTCAACCTGCTAAACTGAACATAACCGTAACCAAGCTGGCAGGGTCACGTCTTGTTATGCCAGGAAGAGGAGGTGATTGGTTGTGCAATTTGACAAGAAAGTTTGAGCAATAAGTTGGTGACAAGCAGCGGGCTGCTAACTGCCTATGAAAGCTCCGTTGTGCTGCAGTCACACCGAGGAAAACAGTGGTTGGAGACCGGAGCACAATCAAGATACTGCAAAATAGTTGCTTCAGAAGACTGGGACCAGGTGTCGTGTTCAAAGCAACTTTTATGGTAATAAGACAAAGTTTGTTTGTTTACAGCCCACGAGTAAAGGGTCAATTACATGCAGTCTGTTTGTGATAATACAGAAATTGACTTTAAAAAATGTGAAATTTGTTGCTTGTCTTCAGACACAGAAAGTCACATCAAACTTCCAGAACCTCAGAGATTTGAAACAGAACTTCGAAAATGCCTCAAGAAATCGTGATGTAGTTTCAATCACTTGAGATCCATCAAAAACAAGATGCACCCGTTGGTGAAATGACTGTACAAACTCCATGACTGTACAAAGTCCAACTGCGATTGTTTGTAGATGGGTTGCCTCACACTGACGAGCATGCAACGTCTTCAGCCTCTGGGTGACCTGTTTCTTGCTGCAGCTGCTTGTAGTCAGTCTCCGAATGTGGAAAAAAATCAGTGCGGTGACAACAAAACCACCAGTGTTTCATAATAGCAACAAAGTTGCCACCCTGTGTTAATGTGACCGAGCCATTGCTCGTCTCATAAGTGACCGTTGGTTCTTGATATGATAATCATAACATCACATGTGACATCCATGAGCTATGATGCTTTTATGTATTTCAAATGTTCAAATATGACATTGGTTTTTGGGGGTGTTTTGAAAATTGTTTGCAGCCAGTGACTGGATGTCTCCTCCCTTGAAATTCTCCAGCAGACCTGCAGAGCCTTGCAGATGTTTTCAGTTCAGAACTTTCAGACAGAACTGTGTTGAATAAAGTTCGGAGATCTCACAGATTAAATGAGTGTTGGCCAGTCTGTAAGTGACCGACAAGGTCACGTGATGGTGGAACCGGGTCATAGTCGGGGAACTGTCAAACCTGAACAGCCTGTGTGCACGGCTAAATGTCAGACAGATGGTGTGATGCTCTTGCAAAGCTTTATGATAACCACACTGGAGGCTACTTTAAGGTGGCGAGACAAAGAGGTCTAACAGTACCTTCTGCCTCACTCACTTTTAATGTCACTCAGCTGAAGGTTTTCTCTTTCCTCCAGAAATCTTTGACCTTTTTCTTACCCCGGTCTTCCCCCAAGCTCTTCTATATTTAAGACAGTCGAAGGACTGTGTTGGAGATGCAACTGCAGGGCATTAGACAAGGATTCGGTTGCCAGGGTATGACGCACAACAATGCTTTGAAGACACGGTGGATGAGGAGTAGGAGCTCACAAATTGACAGTATTTTCCTCCGAGTATGTGCGCTAGGTTTTCCATCGCTACTCGGCTTGCCAAATTTAAAAATGCATGCTTCCAAATTATTGCCTGCAGCCAGTTATTGTTATTGGATCTGCCACAGTTGGAGGCCACGCCAGTTTATGAAAATGTCTCTAAGCTGCTTTTATTTTTGCTTTGTGTCAGGATTGAGAAGCGGTCCAAGTACAGCCGACGCAGGGCCTACAACGACGACGCCGACATCGACTACATCAACGAGAGGAACGCCAAGTTCAACAAGAAGGCGGAGCGTTTCTATGGCAAATACACAGCAGAGATCAAGCAAAACCTGGAGAGGGGCACAGCGGTGTAGAGCGTCAGGTCACTTTAGAGCTTCGCTTTTTATTTTTTCCTTCTTGCTTAAAGTCTCTGTGTTTATGAGCGAAAATGCAGTGTTGCCAGGTTTTTGAGCTGACATATGTAAAAAAATTTTGTTTTACTTGTACAGTATGAAAAGTCTGTCTCTGAACTCTTACTTTTTAATAAACCACTTCCAATTATCTCATTATCTTGCACACTTGTTGTGCTTTTTTTTTTTCCTGTGGCTGCTTCTGTGTGTGGTCTCATGACGAGAGCGATTTTGAGCGTGAGAATGAACTGTTAGCTCACCATTGAATCTCTTTGGGGGCATGTTTAGCACAGAATGTCAGCCAACAGGGTTTCAGCGTAGGTGCACGAAGAGAACGGGACACGGAGCAACAGCAATTCAATTTATCGCTTTTATCATCTGCATCTTGCCACTAACTTCCCCAGAGCAGATATGTGAACACAAAGCCTTGTGACTTCAGAGCAGACATGCAAACAGCTTTCCATGCCTGAACGTAGGGTCACTGTGCCCTCTACTGGATAAGCAGCGACAGGACAGAGCCAGAAGGGTTAAATGACATGAAATGTGTCCTTACTTGAAATTTATTTTATTTGGATGAGTCAGACCCTTAAAGTAAATTTATGAGATCTTCTTAAACACAATGCATGTTTATGTTTTGCTGATGAAAAGCAGGGGAAGTCTTCAGATTTTCCTTTTGATATCTGACTTGCTGTTGGTGTTCAGGTTTAAGAAGTCTTATCTGATTAGCCTGAGGACACTGGCTGTAGAAACGTTGCATAAATTCAGTTGTGTCTGACACTTTTGATTCATTCACGGCCAACCGACAGTTGGTGTGTCCTATAAAGCAATACTGATTTAAAACTAAGGCACAACTGATGCCAATGTCTGCTCATAAAGGTGGGGGATCATTGAGTCACGCAGAAATGTCAGGATAAACCTGTCTTCTCACCTTTTCCTGTTAAAACAAGCTCAAAGCTTGCTTTGTGTGTCAGTACTAAGTAATCAGCAGTATCTCCCATCAGTCATTAATCACAATTACAAGTCAGCTTACAGCCAGAGACGTTTAGTCTGGCAGTAAGGCGCTCAAAGCGGTGAATCCACCTTTGAATATCTTAGTATCAAGCTCAGATTTACCAGTATCGCACTGCTATTTATATTGTATTTAATATTTTCCAGGAAAAATATTAAATACATGTGCAAACATACTTTGAAATACATTAGGCACATCCTGAACTGTTCTCCAACACCACTATTTAAAATGTAGCTCCAAGAACATCCCCTTAAGAAAGTTTTTGCATTCAAAGTTGGCTGCCCATGGTGCCTACCCTGCAGAGTGATAATACTCCATCACCCTTTGCAGTGTAAAAGAAAAACTACACTACAAAAATGTCTTACCCATTGGAAGCCAAATCTAGTGAAGTCAGGCCCAGTCAAGTAAATGTACAGCATTATAACTAGAGGTGTTAACCTGGGCTAAAACAGAACAAGTGGAAGTGTCATGTCATGCTATGTTACAACAGGTACAGATTTACCAATAACTGTTCTAAAAGATTTAATTTTAATGTTCAAGGTTTTGGAGATGCACTTTTTGATCTGCGTTACCACTGCTTGAATCAGCTGAACAAATCAGATCTGACAATTGAGGTCAGGAACCTTCTGGAAGCAGGCCTTTATATAACCAACCTTGCAGGCAGTGGAAATGCTGACACCATGTGGCTATTTCAGATACTGCAGGTCACTTTCCAGCTGATTTCCAACTACTAAACCCTTGGGGGTTTAAGTGGGGAAAAAAAAGAAATTACACAAGTCTCTTTGGCACTGCTGCATCTTCACGTATGAAAGGACGTCCAGAAACAAGTATTATGTGAAATAACTTTATTGAGTTTATAAACATCACAAAAAAACACAAGGAAACAAAAAAAATAAATAATAATAATCCCACCTGAACGATTCTTCACTTCTTCCCACAAATCTTTAACATCTGCAAGAAAACACCGATGTGTGAACATCTCATATGTACAGTATATACAGCATGTACAGTGTCCATGTGCTCTGCCCCGCAAGTGTGGGTTTAGGTATGTTTGCGTGCACTCGAGGATTGGCCTGATCTGACTGGGATCCACTGGCCGTAGGGCTTCCTACGCTCTACGCTGTCCACTCGGGGAGTTACCTTTGCTGTAGGAGGAGCTGCAGCTGTTGGCTTAGCAACAGAGTTCTGAAAACAAACAATTTTTATTTTATTTTATTATCACGAGTGATTCAGAGCAGTGTGAAACAAAGGAAGACTCACTTTAGTTTAGGTCACTTACGTTAATGCTGAAAGCAATTTTTCCTTTCTGGGACGACCTTGGGCTGGAGACGTCATCAGGCTCCTCCTGTGTGCCCTGTTGAAAAACAAGGACAACAAGTAGTTACTCACAAGCCCCAAACTGGAGGCAGAGTGAGCTTTGACAGTTTGTGAAGGTCATATTAGATTAACTGCTTCTAACACAGTTAAGCTTTTCTACTGCGTAGGTAGGTATAACTTCAACAAACTACCGCTCTCATGCAACCCCCAAACACTTAATCCAAGCTTCAAGGTAAGACCTTGAAACAGAATCTCAAAACAAATTATTAAAAATAATAAAATAAAATAATAATAATAAAAAGAAAAATATACAGTTTCAGAATGGTGGTCACGCAGCTTTCCCAGCCCCTTAGCACACACCATGTGTACCAACTTATCTTTGGTATATGGAGAGGAGTTCTTCATCTGTTTTTAGCTCTATAATGCAGTCCACACACGTGCGCTCCATCAGCGAGTGGAGGGCTCTGCTAAATAAACAACCCACTTCAACTGCAAGCATAAATACATTTGTAATATCAAATTTTTACTTCCTTTCTACAAGGTGAATCAGTAATAACACATCTGAGTTGGCTGCATCTATGTGTGCAATTAGCAAGTATCTAAAATGTGAGATGTGACATCTACATTTGCATTTATTTGGCCTCTAGTGGAGAAAATGCAGATTGTGAAGATTACAAGGAGTACATTTTGTTATCACCCAAGTCACATGACAGCCCTTTAATCCCAGGTGCCGATGAGTGAAGGAGACCACTGTCATGTCATCTATGAAGACAGGAATAAATAAAGAGCATGTGTTCCCCTCAAGGTCCAAAAGGTTAAACAAGACAGGAAAGTCAACAACACCGACCACAATATAGTCACAGCTATAAAGTCTGAGTGCTGAATCATTTAAAAACAATGCATTAACCTCTACCTTGTGATTAAAAGTTAGAGAGCACTGCTGTGCACAGGAGATATTTCTAAGCTTCTTCATATCCCTCGTCTTTATATGGAAAGAAAATGCACATCAAAGTCTTTAGAGTATTAAAAGCTCCGCCTTCAGTGAATGGCAGGTTCCACATACAGGTAACGTTTCCTCCCACACTCACCTGTGCTGCGGTCTTTTCGGAGCCGTGTCTCACCCTTTTCTCTGGCTCACGCTCGGGTTCTGACAGGATTGGTTTCACACTCTCAGGAAGTTCCAGTTTCTCCACTCCCAGAATCTTCATGGCGTTTGCCTTTGCAGCTTCGAGGAGTTCCCTTTTATCTGCTCGACACAAACCAAATGAAGACATTTAATACGAGCATTATTACTGCTTGCTGCCAATTTCTACTGACATCAACTACAGAGCTTACCACACAGACTGAGGCTGACAGAACGTCCAACAGATCGGGATCGGCTCCTGGATGAGGATTGTGAAAATCTGCATCGATACTGGCTCACGCGGCCCCTGGACCTGCGGAAGGATGACCTGGATCGGGAAATTGAGCGGGACCTGGAGGGAGACCTGTACCGTCTGCGATGCGAGCATCTGGCTGGCGAGCGGCTGAATGAGCGAGTGTGGGCCCTGTAACAGCGGGGTGGGGAATGACTAGAACGAACTCTGCTGCGTCTGCTGTGGTCGTCACATCGACAGCGAGAGGAGCGTCTGTGGCAGCGGGGGTAGGAGCGTGACCTGGAGCGAGAAGACCTGCTCCTGGAAGAAGATGAGGACGATGAAGATGATGATCTGTAATAGCGTCTGCGTCTGTCGCGCCCTCTGTAAGAGCCTGAGGAGTGGCTGCTGTCATAGCTGCTCCTGGACACAGAGCGGGATATGGAATAGGATCGGGATGACCTGGGGCTTTTCTGGTCAAAGATCACATTGAGGCCATCGCTCTGGCGAGCACGGGCCATTTCGGAATGAGAGCCTGTTCCGTTGGCCATTATCTGGTCTTCTGTCAAAGGCTGGAAAGAGAAAAGAAAACCTGCATAAAACGACAAGAACACTAAAATTACTAAGCTTTTTTTTCCCCTCCCCCTCTCTCCTCCCCTGGTGCAAGTCCCTACTACTAGATTTACTAGCCCTGCGCAAATTTGCATAAATTCCCCTGAACCCAACACCCTGCTTTCACAGGCCTTCAGCTCCATTGTTCTCCTGCTTTTTTGTGCAAACACCCCCTGTCCCCCAACCAGGAGAGATTCTGGTCTTTCCTTACCTGCAACCTACAATACACTATGGTAGTTTTTATGTGCAATATTTCTCATGCATGCCTGTCCATAAACATACATACACACACAGAGTACATATATTTATATAGCCACAACTTACATAACATGCATAAAGTCTAGTTACACACACACACACACACACATATTTATGTTTCCAGACGTTTGTATAGTGCACTTTCTATACTGTGCTCTGTGTACAGTTTTTATTTTTGCTGCTTTTGTCTTGCACTGTCCACTTTTCTGCAATAACAATGCAGATTTTCCACTTGTGGGACTAATGTCGATTTGCTGCGTGCGCAACATTGCCATTTGTTTACTCCGATCCAAGGCCAAACCTCTGTTACAACCTTCAGAAATTCCTACCAAATCGATACAAAAGACAGACATTCACAATATATGGGTACACAAGTCTGTTTTATTTCAGTGTTTCAAACTTTACAGCGTTTGCAGACCCAGTGTCCATCATCCCTGCATTTGGCACAGGTGAATTTCTGACATGTTGCACAGGTAAACCTGCTGCGATTCCCGTTGCGGCTCTCTTGCACTGCGTTGTCTTTACAGTCCCTGGCACAGCAGCTGCAGCAGCTTGCCTCTGTGCTAATATTTCCTTGTGCTGTATGAATCGGCAACGAAGTTCCTGAGCTAGAAGACTCAGAAACAATCTTCTTTTGCCTGACCACCCTGTACATGCCTTGTACAAAATGTAGGCATTCACCACCGCCAGGTCCAGTATATTGCAGAAAACTGCTACTGGCCACCTGCGTGTTGCTGCTCTTACGGAATACATCCGCGCAAGTTGAGGAAGTTCACGCCAGACTTTATTCACTGTGCCCCTTAACGTCGTTTTGCGTTGCAGCAGTCTGTGCGACAGTGACGTAAAGAAATTGTCCATTGTGACATTTCTCCCATCAAACAAAAACAGTTTCATGACCACGTTCTCTGCCAGCCTCTCTCCCTTCTGATCACTGGGGTCCTTTCCCAAGTAAGGAGATGCACTGTGGACATATTCCTCTTCCGTGGAGGCATGTTGGTTTCTTGTTCCGTCTCCTTTTCAGATTCTTCTGAGGAGATATCAGTGGCCTGCTGGACAAATGAAACCTCTCCTCCATCAGTCTGCTTCGTCCATTTCCTGAAGCAAGGCAAAGCCTGTTGCGTGGAGAGGTTCTTCCTGCTGGCAGTGATATGGAGGCCATCCTGATGTGTGTGTGATTCTCCCGCCTGGTCGGTCTGCATTTATGCACAGCGCTGTGCTGTAGTAATGCAATGCCAGTCATACACATACACAGTCACAATGGAATAATGGAAGATCTGTGCTGAGAGTCAGGGAAGGTGTGAATGTGTGCCTTTCATAATTGCAGATCAGTCAATGTGTGGGATATTTTATAGACATTTGTGACGGTTGTAACAGAGGTTTGGCCTGTCTTGGATCTGAGCTACTCTGAGTAAACAAATGCATTATCCATTATCCTTGAGGCCTGGCACATTGCAGACCTCAAGGATAATGGGTGGTTGGCACAACAAAAGCTGGAGGAGAAACGAGCTGACGACCTGTGAAAATCTCAGCAGGGGTGATTTACACCTCAGAACTTGCACCAGAAAATAAAAAAGCCAGTAATTCTAGTAGGTGTTGGATTGAGGGAAGTTACGCAAATTTGTGCAGGTTTAGTACATCTAGTGTTAAGTGATCAACACGCCTCAGTAATTTTAAATACTTTACTGGAACGAAGTCTTTTTAATGTGGCATTACCACCACTTTCTCAATGACCTAGAGAGAAAGATCCCTAGAGCAAAACGCGACTGCAGACTACTGGTAAATCACATTTCAAGGCAAGCTAAAACTAAAAACTGCTCCCTGAACATTAAACAGCTTATAAAGGGAATACTTTAAGTTACATTCTGTGTTAGAAACGTGTGTCAGCGGTTAAAGTCTATTAAAAGACAGCATAACCGTTGCATAACCACTCTGCTGCCCCTAGTGAGCAAAGCAGTGTTGTGTAACCTCACCGGCTAAACCGGCTTGAACTGGAAAGTTCCAGGTTGACGTAACCCTGAGCTAACGCGTCTCCATCGTTGAGCAACATTCGCAAATAATAACTTATCCACATCACTCAATTTGCATTAGTCACAACCTTTTTTGTTTGTTTGTTTTTAATCTGAAACCGTTTCGTGTAACTCTAACTTAGAAATAAAATAAAGCCAACGGCGATGTTTGTCTTACCAGTTCGACTGTAACTAGAAGGTCTTCTTTCTGTTGAAGTCGATTCAAAGGGCAAACGCTGTGGCAAATTGTTGCCCCCCAGAAGTATATCAAAAGACGAAAAGCTGTCAGAGAAACTCAAAATGCTCGAATTTGTTGGTTTGTAGCCAATTAGCTCAGAAAAAAGCGACCGTAGCGTCTTCCTCGAAGTTCACTCTTCCACCGTCGTCACTCTAATGTAGGCGGGGAAAGACCGCAGCGGGCTTTAAACCTGCTTCTGGAAATTTCCATTCACGTGATGTTCGCGACGATTGGATTCTTTTGAATGACTCGCGGGCTTAACGACTCTTTTTAGGAACAAAATAAGTCGAGTTATCTTCCCTTTAGCGGCTTCTGCTTTTTTAAATCTCCGCAATATTCATTCTTCCTTTAATCGTTGTTTATGAATCGTGCCATATTTGTGTTTCTACAATCAGTATAGGTTAAAAACAAGGTAAAAGAAACCGATTCAGCGGGTAACTGATACGGTTGGTGAAAATAATCAAATCGTTCAGGGCGACCGATAAACCCACTGAGAAAAAGGCGCATTGAGGGTTTTGTGTTTTGAAGGCCTCAGTGCTGCAGAAAAAGCTGCACACGCAGTTCTGAGATGCAGTAAAAGCTATTATTTAAGTATTATTTATAGAGGAGTTTAATCCTGATACCGAGCAAAGATTAGGATGGATGTATTCAGTGTATTATGTGCAGGATAGAGTTTACAAATGAATTCGGCAACGATTATGATTTCATTATATTGCATTTAAACAAAAGCTTGCTGCAGCAAATAGCAGAGCATGATGCGGTAGGTGAAGGGAGGGGGGCAGTTTGGAGTTTCTAGAAAATTCACATAGACCTGAAAGATTACATTATATCTGCAGCATTATCATTGATAAAGGGATAAAAGATGCATCACAGCATCAGCAGGTTATTGCTGTATTACAAGTCTGAGTGGTGAGTAAACATAGACTAGACATCAGTGTGATTCTCCATATCATTTCATTGATACTCAACATAAACAGCCAGTAAATGGTCAGATGGATTACATAATACTTCAAATTTAACTGCATTTATTATACGGGAAGAAAACGGAATCCGTGAAGTGCAGAGGAATTATTTTGATATTACAAATTTACGACTTGTTCTAACCCAGTTCTTACTTAGCATCATCCATTTTGTTGGACTAAAAAAGAGTTGCAATGATTTGCATTAACCTATCCTTTCAAATAATGTTATATATTGCTATAGGTCTTTTGGTATTGGTTTACTTTGATAGCTGCTTGTTTCAGTCGAGGTTTCTTTTAGGATAAGGGATGGGAAATCCTTTAAACATGTTGGGGGGCCAAGCTTCAGCTGCTATAACTCAATCAAATGTGTCTTTGTTCTTGTTGAGTATTTGTTGAGTTGAGTAACTGATACTTTCCCATGTTTCTGATGTCTCCCTATCAGCGTCATTATCTTCCCTCCTCACTATTGCCCGTGTTTTATTTTGCTAATCTCTCTTCTGTTATTCATTTAGCTTTGCCTCTTTGTAACGTCTACCCCACCCACATTGGCTTGTCCTCCTATTGTTCGTTGTTTTGGTTTGTTTCTTTTTTTTTTCGCTTTTTTTGGGGGGGGCATTGGCCATCAAGTCTTTTCCCCTTTCTATCAGTCTAAAGAACTCAAATATCTGGGTAAAAAGGTGCAATTTCAGTATTATATTCGTTTTTCTACATTGTAAAGGAATGTTGCAGAAACTCAAAGAAACCAGTCAGCACACATCTTCAAACTTAAGAGTAAATCAAATAAAACAAAATTTCAAAAAAGGCCTTGAAACTAATTATCCAAACTTTGTCCTACATAAAAGAGAAATTTTATTTTAAATAAAAAATGACAAATTTCACTATTTCCACATTTAATAGTATAAACCCAATAAGTTTTATGGTTTTTAGTGGAATAATAATTGTTTGTTTTTGTTGGCTTCTTAAATTGTATTTTAATGGTTTATTTTTGGCTTTTTGTACTTTGCCGTTGCTTGTCAGGCCATGACTGAGGTCTTTCTCAGCAGGAAGGCTGTTAAAGTGACAAAAGACAATTAAAAATCTGCTTACATTCTCTAAGGCCATCCAGCGTAATTGAATTTAAGATATTATCAGTCAGCTGAATGGGAGTTATCATTGCGTCTTCAACCAGAATGGGTCTTCAACACCTTCTAGACTCTAGAAGGTGTTGAAGACCCATTCTGAAATCTTAATGAATGATTCTTTCATATATTCTCCTTCCGTGAACGGCTTCCCATGCTTGACTATTTGCTAAATGGCCATAAAACTTGCATAGTTGAATTTGCAGACTTCATCCACTTCTTCAACTGATTTTTCCTCAGATCAGCCTTCCGCTTCAGTTCTTCAGCTTTATTTCTCTCCCTCCGGGTATTGTTCTGCAAAGGCTGTGTTTTTATTTTGGAAATGTCTTGCGACATTTGACATTTTATTGTTAGCCAATCTCTCTACACAAATTAGGCATACTGGTGGGCCACTCTGATCAGAAGTAAATGCAAATGCTCAGGATTTTCTACGAGTCTGTGGCCAGTGCAATCCTCTACACTATTGCATGCTGGGGGAGCAGGCTGAGGGTCGCTGATGCTGACAGACTCAATAAATTGATCTGTAAGGCCAGTAATGTTGTGGGGATGGAGCTGGACTCCCTTAAGGTGGTGTCGGAGAGGCAGATGTTGTCCAAAAATAAAGACAATGTTGGATAATACCTCCCACCCACTCCATGACATGCTGGTCAGTCACAGGAGCACATTCAGTGAGAGACTTGAGTATCAAAAAGCACCACTGAACGCCACAGGAAATCATTCCTGCCTGTGGCCATTTCCCTGTACAACTCATCCACTTAAGACACTGTATACTGCAATAGCTACACCCTTTTTGCACACGCTCTTCTTCTTATTCAGCTATTTATCAATAAGTGACTTATATCTATATAAGTCATGTATATATTGTATATATTGTGTCTATTTCTTACTTAGTGTATTGTCTTTCTTTGTTACTGTTTATACTGGAGCACTGTAACCAAAATAATTTCCCCTAGGGATTGATGATTCTGAAATGAATCTGCCCGAGCATCATTAAATGTTTCATTTTCTTCAGATATTTTTCTTTCCTGACATTTCTCCATACTTGGCCTCCCTGGGGTTGAAAGTCTTGATATGCTTATTTTGAGCAACAAAAAAATAAATAGTCAAAGGAGCTTCAGAACTGAAGAAGCATCTCGGATGAGAGGTGAAACATCTTCAAGCAACTTAAAGAAGTCCACACGCTTTTCTTTGCAAGCTCCTTTGACTACGATGACCTGGATGAATGAGAACCTTCACAGACAAAAAAATAAATAAATAAAAAAATTAGAACTACAATTTAAAAAAACGTTTAAAAAAAAAGAACTGACACAAATAAAATACACTTCAAATAAATTCTGATAATTTATTTTCCCAAGGAGCTGCATGTGACCCCTGTTCTAGAGGTCAGGAGGTTGTTATCACTGGCAGGAATCATTTACCGTATGCTTGACACCTCTACTGTCTGTTTCCTATGCAAATAATTTCACAACCTTACAGCTTCATTAACGACCCAGTCAACCTCCCTGCTCTCTCATAAAAGCCCAAGTGAAATGTGATGTTTATTTATGTTATAAATACAGGATTTTCCTCTATCATGAGATGGAGGACTAGAAGATGAGTCTGGTAACAATTGTAGGTTAAAACGATGCCTTTCATATGCTGCCTTTTTTGGAATACATAAGGATGAAAGTTTACCCAAAATGCACTTTTTAAAGTTCTCTCCATTGTATTATCAGAAAACAGCTCAAACACCCAGAGTACCAAGATTTGTTCCTGTTCCTCTGTGTCACAGACATTTAACTGGTGGAGGTTTTCTATTCAAACTGTGATATATTCCCTGATGTTGATGCTGAGTGTTGGAATCATTGCTTGGACTGTGATGCAGAGTAAAATGAATTTGGTAAATTGACTGGTACTTATACTATGCCTTTCTACTCAACTTGAGCACTCAAAGCGTTTTTTATTCCAATATGTTATGATCCCTGAGTGGTGGACACAGTTTTATTTATGGTTCCTTTCTGAGGAGGACTCATGTTTGTGTTTTTTACAGAACTGTGAACCGAACCTTAACAATACTTTTGTTTAATTATTCCTCCCTGAGGGAATCTCTACAGTCTGTCATTTATGTCTTATATTTTATGTTATCTTTTTGTTTGGATTTTCTGTGTGTCTACGTTCAAATTAGTATTTAGAGTTCTATTCATGGGGTTATTGTTTACAAGTCTTGTTTATTTTGTGATGCTTTCTGTCTTTATGGTTCATTTTCTAGCGTTGCGGTTTTGGTATACACACATTACTTTTAGTTACCATCCCTACATCAGTCTCTGCTCTGTTTGTCTTTCACTTTGCTTCTGTGTGATTCTGTCTTCCCCTGTGTTTTGTTGTGTCTTAATTCCTGTTTTATTTCAGTAGCTGTTGGTCTCCTGTAACTTGTCTGGTTTTACTTCCTCGGCTTGTTGTCTTCATTGTTTTCAGCTATCTTTAATTACACTCCTAGTTCTATTTCAGTCATTACTTCTTGTATGTGTATATCACCTGAGCATTTCTGCACCCTTTGTTGTGTTATCCATTTAATTGTGTGTCTTGGGTTTCCTGAGCTTGAGCTCCATGTGATTTCTGAATATGTGTATTCCTTGGCATTGCTACTTGTGTAATTTTGGATTTGTCCTTATCAGCATGAAATACGTGCCTCTCTTGACTGCTCTCTTTTGCGTCCTGCTCTTGTCTTCTCAAAATTGCCAGCTGACTATGGTATAAAAGGAAATTAAATGTAGGCTATTTTTCAGCTTTGAACACTTAATTTGGATATTTCCCATGCTTATTAAATTACTCAAATACTAAAAAGTAATTTAAACTGTTGTCCCATCCCGATGTACTTTGATACATACTATTAATATGTGTGGTATGAAGATCACCTTTTGTACAGCATCATTAAACGCATTAAATTTATAAAAGGTGAGACAGCATTTATTTAATTGTTATAGCTATGAAAGTGTTATGCTTTGCAATTTATTTATTAATTTATTTTTGGTTCAAAATCGGAGCAGTTGTATTTGCATAGATGTGGTATAGAAACTTTTTTCTCCTGTAAAAAAAAATGACCCCATAAGTCTCAAATTTTTTTACATACTAACAAAAACTTTTTCAGACTAAACTTTGAGAACCTTTAATAAAATCTGAAATTTTATATCGCTATACCTACAAACTATCTATCTATCTTGTAAGCCTGCAGGCTTATAATTTGTATTTGATTAGGGCTTAAAAGGGAGAAACTAACGACTGTACCGTCATTGGGAGAAAGTGAAGTCGTGAATGCATTTCAAATGCAAATAAAGGAAGTCTCGGGCGATCTCGCGAAATTTTATGTAACGTCTACTTAGCAGTACTGTTTACTTTGTCGCTTCCTCCTCTTTCCTGTGTTATAAAAGCGGAGCGTGCGCACACCTCGCTGTTCACCTGATTTGATCGCAGGCTGAAAATGGACCCGCTCACCGTGCTGCCATCCAACTTCGGATATGTTATCCTCACGTACCTGTACAGCTGGATCATGCTGGGGTATTTGGCAGTTAAGGTTGGGGGAGCCAGAAAGAAGTACAACGTGAAAGTAAGTGAAAAACGAACACTGCACGCTCTGAAGTGATTTTTATTTGCATCTCGGGCTTATTTCACGCTGTTTATTCTGCAGTATCCCACCATGTACAGCGACAAGGAGCAAGTCTTTAACTGCATCCAGAGGGCGCATCAGAACACCCTGGAAGTGTACCCTCAGTGGCTGGTTTTCCAGACCATCGCAGCTCTTGTTTACCCGGTAAATTTGATCATATACACTTAAATCAGTCTTCACTACTAAGTTTTTTGTTTTATGCATTTATTGTGTTAGTGCAGTGGGTCAGGGGCCGAGCAGGAACACGCCCGCGTGAACTTTGGCATGATTTTTCCAGATAACAGTCTAGTTCAAACGTTAGTGTCAGAGTGAATAAGCAGATTTTCCTCGATCACAGGGGTGTGTCCACGACTTTTTTTCTCTGTGGTGGATTGGGGGTGCACAGTAAAACAGAAGTTATGGTCATAAATAAACAGAGTTTATAAAATATAAATCTAATAATGTTAATTAGGTTAAAAATCTGGGATATCTCACTACAGATCACATAAGAACGGTTTACGATATATAGATAGCATGCAAATATCCTGTTAGGCAGGTTTGATGTATGTGCAGAGAGCGGGAAGATCCTTAGAGGAAAGTAAGTTTACAGAAAGTTTAAGTGGTCGATAATGAGATGTCAGTGAGGAAGTGAAATGTTTGTAGCTGCTGAAGTGAGCACAATTAAAGATGTCAGAAGAATTGTATTTGCAGGCTCAGTGCTTTTGAAAAACAGATTATTGTAGCAGATTACTAAATATAAAAAATTCAGTGCACATATCAGACTCATCTGTGGAGTGGAGACTCTGGTGGAGCACTCTCTGTCTCTTTTTTTTTCTTTTTAGAAAAAAATCTGTGCATATGCTTGGTTTGTTACTTTATTTGATAACTGTTTGTTAGTAATGATCCAGGCCAAAGACCAGCGGTTACTCAAAGACCTCACTGAACCTGTTAGAGCCCCTGATACCTGTGAGAGTGCATGACAAAGAAAGAGAGACAAGAAGGCATTTAGACACTTATGACAGTAGGGGGAGTGTTTGAATAGAGGTAAATGATCTCAAATAAATAAATAGACGTGATCTTTATGTATGTTCATGGACACAAATCACCATATATTTATATGATGGTTTTCCAGACGAAGCGGTGAAATGTTGAAATACCTCATGAAAGGGCTTCAGCACATGTAGCGATTGTTATTTTAACCAAAATTGCAATCTTTTTCTGACCTTGACCCGGTAGTTTTTAATGCCTTAACAAACCCAATGAAGGCATTTTTAATTAATAATATAAAAAAGGGCAGCACAGTGGCATGGTGGTTAGCACTGTTGCCTTATAGCAAGAAGGTCTTTTTGTGTGGAGTTTGCGTGGTCTCCCCGTGTTTCCCCGGGGCCTCCGACTTCCTCCCACAGTCCAAAGACATGTACTTAGTGGGGTACGGTAAATAGGTGATTCTAAATTGCCCATGTGAATGTGAGTGCATATGGTTGTCTGTCCCTCTGTGATAGACTGGCACGGTGTACCCTGTCTCTCACCCTGTGACCCTGATAAGGATAAACAGAAGAGAAAGGATGGGATATAAAAATAAAATGATATGAATGCAATGTGTGAATCTGTGGTGTGTAGGACCCAAACTGGATAATTATCGATTCGTTAATGTGTACTTGTGTTTAATATTCCAGGTAGAAGTAATTGTACTTTATATTCTGCTGGATGGTCATATCTTTAATAATTCATTATATTTTTAGGATATTGTTTTATAATGTGCTGAAAGTAGCACAACAGGAATATTTAAATAAAATAAAAGTAGTTTAAATCTATATTTAAGTTGAATTCATGAGTAATGTGATGATTCTGTGTGTACTTTATATCAGCAGCTTTGGTGAGGGGCAGCTGTGCCCTCATCTGGAAACTCTCCTGACTTCCTCCATTCTTTCTAACTCTTATTTGTGTGCACTTCTAACCAGCTGTCAGCATCTGTCTTGGGGGATATTTGGGTGACCAGCAGGTTTTCCTATGCCTGGGGCTACTACACAGGAGGTAAGACTGAAATTAAGTGAATGGAGTCATGATACGTAAAATTTATACACTCACGTTAATATTTTATTAATAAATACAGAGTTATGTTAGTATTAACCCCTAATCAATACCACAATCAGTAATGTCTACATTGGGTTGGTGTCTACAATTATGCCATGTCATAATATGCATGATATGGCAGTTAGACAGATGTTCAGAGCTGAAGTCCAGGTGCTGCAAGAGTTACAGCCCTGTGATAGTCTGAGCAGTTTTATTGCTCAGTATCTACGTTGTTTAATCATTTACATTTGATAACATATGGGTGAAAAGTTACTAAGCTAAGAAGTCAATGATCTGCATTATTAATGGAAGCAAAACATTTAAATGATCATGTGTTCAGAACTTCAGAGAAGACAGAAAAGTTTAGCCTCGTTTTCTTCGTATAATCCTGATTTGATCAATGTTTACTTTGTCCTTTTTATTGCAGATCCTGCCAAGAGGATGAACGGTGCTTACGGCTACATTGGCTATTTCGGAGTCATCATTCTCTCCATATCTGTTGCCCTGCAGCTGCTCGGCTTCCTCTAAGATGACTGTCATCTTGTGTTTGCCCATCTTACTGAAGAATCTGCTCGTGTATAGTGAACAATATTGCATCTTAACAAAACTATGCTATAAACTGTCTATATACGACTTAAAACCTTTTTTATGAACCACTAACCTGATATTCTGATATTTCTGTGACTATATACTCCATGTAATCAAAATTCTACAATAGTCATCAATAAAGTAAATGCTGTCTGATGGTGCAGCCTTAAATGGATTCTGCGTGCACTCAGGTAGTACAGATTATGGTCACTGAGAGGGTCAGAGGCAGCAGGGCTAAAGAGCGTGTCATGTGACTCACACATGAGGTATCAGGCGCAAATCCCCCATCTGTTCGAGCCCATAGTCAGTGGCTTCTAGATGATCTACATCCTGAGAAACAAGTCCACCAAGGTCAGCCCAAGATAATAAAGTCCTTTTTTTATAACTACTGTACAATAGAATTACCACAGAAAATGTTTTTTTTTAATTGACAGGGAATAAGTCCAGGTGATGAGCTGGTGGGGTGTTTTCTTTCATTTTGCACACTAAAAGCTAAATAAAACTTCTTCTTTTTTTGTCTATGTTAAAATGTTACAGCCCATATAGTTGTACAGAGGGGTTCCTTTGATGTATAAAAACTGAGATGTATTATTGGAAGTTAAGACATCTCATCTCTTTGCCATAGTTTAACAAAATGTAAGATACTTTGTTCAACAGACAGGAGCAGAGAAACCAAAATGTTATATTCTCATATGACGACGTGAGGTTTCAGGAGGTTAATTTGGGAATGAAAGAAGACAAAGGATGAAAGAAATAAGATGTACTTCATTTATCCCAAAAACTGAGAAACTAGTGTGTTACAGTCACCAAAACACAAAATAATTGTCTCTCAATAACACAAATTTAACCAGCTCAGAAAGATTATGCCCCCGCCCGCCCCCACACACACACAACAATAACAAAATAAGAAGCTCAGTTAAATAAAGATAAAAGAAGTGAAGAGTTCAATAAACCCAAATCAAAATATCATACAACAAGGAGATTAATGAGTAAAATATATAAGGTCATTTATATGAATAAGATGTACTTTATTCCAATAATAAATAAAGTACATCTATATATGATTCCAGTGTTTTATTGGAATCATATATAGCATCGCTGTGATTTTAAAAAGGATAGTCAGAGGAATAAAGAGTGGGAGAGCTGTGTGACACAAGGAAAAAAGTAGGATTAACTGTTTTATTGGAATCCGGTAAAATAAGCCTAACGAGATATTGTTGTCTTTATTTGTTTTGTATGAACTCTGAATCTGAATTCTTTTGCAATTAATTGTTTAAATCATATAAAGAAATGTGGACAGAAATGTAAAGTATTTTATTGTATTAGAATAAAGTGCCACAATTCTACTTATATGTCACATATATATATATATATTGATTATTATCATATCATTCCCTTATATTATAAATAGCATATAAGTGTGCCAAATGTGCGGCCCAGTAACAGTAACTGGTCCTCCAGAGGATCCTGTTCAGCCCGCTCAATAGCTGTGCAAAGAGTGATGAACAGTGTTAAAATGCGCAGGTACTGTAGAGATGTGATGCCAACCTTATTTCAGAAACACTAGTGTCATTAATGAGTCATTAAATGGGAAACTGTGAATCATTTTTATATTAATTGCACTTATTTAGAAACCTACTATGCAATAATTTTACTGGTCAGGAGTAACTGGAATTAGAAAGGAGAGATGTTTACAAATTCACACTTTATCCGTTGCTCCTGAAGGCAACAACATCAACAGCGTCTTTGATCGAAAAGGGTGTGGGTTGACTGCGCATGTGCATGACGAACCTCTGTCGGAAGCAAAGTCGGGTTTGTCCAAAGGTTTTACACACCAAAAAGCGAGAATAAAAGGTAGGAATTCCTTTGAAAATGGCACGAGGAACGGGTAACACTGTCGGGATGTGTGTTTCTATCCGTTCCCACCGCTGTCGTTTGGCTCGTGGTATTTTTTCAGCAACTTCGTAGCGAGAAGAAACCTTCAAGGAAATGTTTGCTAGTACCAAAGCGATGAACAAAAGAAAGCGACAGCGCAGGGTTTTAATCAAACACACGAGCATTGTTTGAGTTTCTAAAACTTATACCTGCTATTATCATCCCTTTAGGGGCTTAATGGATATTGCATGTGGCGATTAAACGGGATAAATGTGGAGTTACAGTATTGTTGGTGTTTGTGCGCGAGCACGAGCCTACTGTACGGCGCCTGCGCACTGATGGATTTTTGTGTCAGATTTCAGTCCACTTTTCTGACTTCGCTTATTGATTATTGGAAATAAGCATAATGAACAGCTGTTTTTCATGTTGCCCGCACTTACATTAGTGGAGTCAGGAATACACCTGGCTGGCTGTGGAAAGTGTGATGTCATCATTTATTTAAACTTTAATAAATCAGCTGTTCCTCCTGTACACAATGGGGTGGAAATTTTGCTGAGACACTTTTCCTTACTGCATTCAGTGACCTATTTTTACTGTTTTAAGAGTCACATAACGAGTCATCTGTGTCATTGTTGTTATGCATTCTCCAGACGGTGGCCTCCAGGGACGCTGTAATAATCTAGTAGCTGTGGCAACAGCCAGAGCGTTGATGTTCAGTTATTGAACCTAAAGTAGACGGCTTAGCATCATTATTTGAGTAGGTAGGTTTCCACGAGTCCTGAGGTTCAGGACAAATCCAGAGTACTTGTGTCCTCCACACCTCCATCAAAATCAATGGGAGCTGAAATCTACTCCTGGACAAGCTACTGTTCTGTCCGGTGTTATTTGTGTATTATTTTCAGTTGTATAATTTTTTTTGTTTTTGTTTTTTACCAATTTCATTATTTTGCTATTTGTATTTTATTTCATTATACTGAACATTTAAAAAAAAAATATATATTACTGTTTCGCCCCTTTTCCCCTCTTCACCTCCTTAATTCAATACATTTATTTGATATTTAACAAACAGTTTTAGCCTGTTGGGTTTTATAGTTTTTCTTTTCTGAACTTTTAAATTTTTTATAGTCAGTGTATATATTCTATGAAAATATGTATTTATGATTGAATTGAATTATTTTATTTCGATTTTTTTCTTATTCACCTTCTCATTGTATTATCTTCAGCTTTTTAAGGTTTGACTTGATTTGATTTTAACAGATTTTTATGTGTAATATTTATATTTTACATTTTACATTAATAAAAAGATATGTTATTTGTTTTTTTCAGACTGTTTAAACTGAGCTGCCTTTCTCTTAATTCAAATCCTGATTTACACCTACATTTACTTTTTTCCAGAGTCATGTCGGGATTTCTGGACGGGATCCGGTGCGGAGACTGTGAGTGTAATGTGGACTGGGGAGAGCGAAGAAACACAATTGCCTCTATAGCTGCTGGAGTCCTGGTATTTCCACTGATTTCTTCAAAACAATAAAGACATATATATAAATCTGTATAGAAGATTTTACATATTTACATAACCGGGGATGTTGTTTTTGCAGTTTTTCACCGGCTGGTGGATCATCATTGATGCTGCAGTGAAATACCCGGCACAGGATGAATTTCATCATGCATATCACACCTGTGGAGTCATCGCTACCGTGGCCTTTCTCATGTAAGACAGACTGCAGCTGTTTGGTGTTTCTGAAGCTTTAAAGCTCAACTTGCAGGTTTTCCAAATCACATGCGTAATATCACAGAGGAAGTAGAGCTGATGTCACATGACCTTAAAAAAACCCCAACAACAGCGATTTAGTCACGTAATAACTGGGAGTCGGGGGTTGTTGCCCCTTTCTGTTTTTAAGAGTGATTGATGACCCTGTCTAAGGTGACAGTGATACCAGTTTTGATCTTTTTATTCAGAGACATTTGTTAACATGTGAGTTAAATTCATACGTGTCACTCATGTGAAAAGTGTCAATAGCTAAATGAATGTGAAGAGAGACAACTTTAGCTTCATAGTGTGGATTTAGAGATCTCTCCAAAACAGGAAGTCTGGAACTGGTTCTTTTTTATCTTTATGGTTTCACAAAAATTTAAAAAGGGGATGCCCAGAATTTACATTTTTTGAATGCAGCATATTTTATTTCAGCAATTTAACATGAGCAAAGCAAAATCCAAGTAAGATAATAATAATTCAATGAACAAACTGTACTCTGAGATCATGCTGATTTCTACTGCTGGTTTTGAGATGAGGGAGATAGAGGGAAACATCCGCATCCTGACCACTTACACCAGTCTGTGCCGATATAATCCAGTAGGAATGCAGAAAAAAGTTCTCCAATTCCTCTGTGATTATACCCCGGCACAGCAAAAAATAAGAAGGGGAAACAGACGCAAATTCTAATTCTAAATCGTAAGTCCACAGTGTTTCTGCTTTTTTACACAGTGCCTGTTTGGTGCTCTCACTCTAACACACACAGAGCAAAGGGTGCACCGTGGTCATAACAATGCTCCTGGAATCTGGGTGAAAAAGTCAAGCATGAGGGTCATTACATTACTGAAACTACATTTTCTTACTCCTGTATTGATTACATTTATTCTTGATTATATTCTGATTAGAATTAAGCATGATTTAGTTCTCTGTATCACTGCAACCATAAAAAGGCTGGATGTTAAGTCCTCTTATTCCACTTTTGGATGAAGATAAGCCCAGGGATCTCAGTCTCTTCGACACCCCCTCCTTGAGATCGCTGGCTGCCTGTCATGGTGGTTAAGACGGGGGAGTCCACTTCATCAGCAGTGAACAGATGTTGCAAGGCCGATGAGCTGGTCCCCAGTTCTGTGGTCCAGCAGGGCCCTGAGTTGGTTCAAGGACTGTGGCCGGTCACCATCACTCATCTTGTGCTCTGCTCTTCCATCTACTCAATTTTCCTGATCTTGTATGTCCTCATCGACCTGGATGTTTTTGTAGCAACTTCCCTCATAGTAATCGTACTTGCACTCCCAGCTGGATGTTTGAATGGTGGCAGGTTTGGTCCAGCAAAAATAAAACCGCCATTAGGCAGATGTGTAGAGGTGATTTGGTGCCCATCAGGGTAGTAAACTCCATCAATATCCCTGCAGATTCCAGATACAGCAGATCTCCGCACTATATTGGCCCAGCTCAAAAAAAGTTGGCTACTGGGACTGTTGGACTAAACTGGCAATCCATATGCAAGAAGATCCCCCACGCACTGTGGTGTTGGAGTTTATCTTTGTGGC